CGTTTTCCCATGTTCGTCAAGGTAGGTAATGGGTAAACGGTAAAAAAACAGGATAATGAAATTTAAAAAATTACAAAAATTGTTCAAAAGTGCCTCCCTCTTGCATTAAACCAAACGATCATAAAGTCCTTAACTGCTCCAAGTTTTGAATTTCTTCATGGCCGTAAATTTTAGATTTTATGTACCCCCATAAAAAGAAATCATTCACCGAGAAGTCAGGTGAAATTAAACGTCAGTCTAAACAAAACTGTCATTTTTGAAAACTTGTCAAAATTTGGACACACGCTAAATGGACTTGATTTTCCTATGTCTCGAAGTCTGTGGACTTTTCTGTATAATCTCGCAGTAATTTAATAGATTGTTCGTCATATTATATCAGCTCGTAGGTGATTAGGAAAAAAAAGATATTTATAGTATAAAAAATTAATTTATTTAACAAAATTTAATTAAAGATGTGACAAAATAGTTACATTTCTATTGGTTCTATCGGACTTTTTTCAACTATATAAATCTTTATTTTTTGTAAACTTTAATGAATAAAATATTTTCAATCTAATAAATAATTTAATGATGTAAATAAGAGGAAATTTCTCACATGGGTGGTCAAATTCTATAGTTTTCATTATATCAAACAGCCTCTGAACGTTTTCTTCAGTGCAAAACTCATCAAAATTTAATTTAAATAATTTTTCCAGCCTGTAAATAAAATGAACAAATTTTTCCACTTTCATGATCAAAGGCTTTTAAATGGGTAAATAATTTCGAGTTATCCAGAGATTCGGATTTTTTTGCAAATTTTAGACAAATATCACATTGATGTATTTGAACACCCTTTTTAATGATGTAGTCAAACATAATTAAAGGCATTTTGAGTTGAAAACATTTCTCAGAGGCTGTTTGATATAATGAAAACTATAAAATTTGACCACCCATGTGAGAAATTTCCTCTTATTTACATCATTAAATGATTAATTAGATTGAAAATATTTGATGTATTAAAGTTTACAAATAAAGATTTATATAGTCGAAAAAAGTCCGATAGAACCAATAGAAAGGTAACTATTTTGTAACATTTTTAATTAAATTTTGTTAAATAAATTAATTTTTTATACTATAAATATCTTTTTTTTCCTTATAAATAAACACATTTGCATCCCATTTTAAATAAGATATACAAATTACCAAAACTTAGAAATAACAGTTCAAAAGTTCAACAAAAAAACCTACACGCGTTTTTAAAAAGAAACATATAACCACGCACTATGTCATTCCAGCAAGCGAATACGACACAGCATAGGTTTCCGGACTAAACGACTGGTGTATTTACACCACTCAATAGGCGTGTCGGGTTTGCCGAGCGGTTTCCGATGCAGTCGCTTTCTTTCGCATCTGTTATAGGTAATTTGTGGTAGAACATTCACAATCAAACCTGTAGTAGGTCTTCCGTAAAAGGCATTCTAAGCTGAATAACCATCTCACAGCGCTTTCAGATGGAGTGGACCGTACGCGCGGAGCGTCCGCGCGAATGTTTTTTCAATATAGCTCATCCGGCCGGAGCATACGCGACCCATGTGAAATCGTTCATACCCATACAGGAGTCCCGGTAGTTTGACAACGGGGCTAAGCGTGGCACATTCGCGGGAAACCAGACTTCGTACGTACGATTAAAACTTACGTACCATTAAAACTTCTCTTTGAAACTCGTAAAAATTGCCTAACCAAAAACCAAAAAACCTAACCTAACCAAAAAAGTAATTCTAAACGTTATAGGGGGTATATTTCCCCCAGGGAGTATGTATCTCCCCACACCAGGGACAAAAAAAATAAAAAATAAATTATTTAAAATGTCAACAAGTAATCACTTCAAGATCTTTTTAGTTTTTTTTAATAACACGTCCATTATAATCATTGATATTCTGATAAATTGACATTACATAAAATCAAACTCCAAATTAACAATTACTACCTAATGATAGGTAACTAATAAGATAAGACCCCCCAAAAAGAGCTTAAAATGTCTGTAAATGCTTTTATATTAAGATTTATGTTATATAGTGTTGTGTGTTTAAAACAGCAAAGCAACGATAGCTATGCTAGTTATTTGCAAAAAATAGGTACTGCTAGTATAATAATAATAACGAATTATGGTACCATTTTATCTATATATCAGTATTTTTAATTCTAAACTATATTATGCTTATTACTATAGTACATACTTATTTTTAGCAAATAACATATTACTCCAATGTGATAATATTTTATTTATATTTTTGATTTTAAAATAGTATTAAAAGCACTTAAAATTGTTAAAAATAAAGAAAAATATAAACAAACATTATGACATTACGTACTATTAATGCCCATGTCATTTCTAAAAATAGAAAAATACTTATTATAACAGCATTTAGTTAGTGGGTGATCTAGTAATATGATAATTTTTGTTTATATGTGTTATACAGGCTGTCCAGGAACAAACATCTAAACTGATCTAGACTAACTAAATAAAAGTATACTAAGGGTCGGCATTTCTGGTCTTGGGTGCCGGTTTTCATGTGTACGAAGAGTACGGCCAACACGCTTACTAAATTAAGATGTACTGAATAAAGACAGAAGGCGAGTATTTTCCCAAGCGCATGGAATCTAGCGTCAGATTGAGTAGTTATGTAATAAATACTTCGTATTTTCGCTTACTCCGACTTACTAGATTGCCATAACTAACGACTCACTCCTATTACATGTAAACGCCGACCCAAAGGTTCGCTTGCCAGCGGGGTATATAATTAGTAAATTCTTCTAAAATGACTAATACGATTGTTTTTTATATTAAAATATTAACTAAGGCTGTCATATGTGTGATGATTAATGACAATTTACTTTAGTTGTCCCCATCTACTACTGTGATACTACCCTTAGAATTAGGTATAAAAGTAGACCTATTAAAAGAAGGGTGAATAACTAATTGTATACCATTATGTATGAATAAATTATGACATGGACATTGGACATATAAAGCTTCAAATAGTATACCAAGTTACTTATGTCAATTCTATTATATTTCATGTCTTGTTATATCTTGTTGAAATTAAAAAAAAATCAAAAAAATATTTCTATTTTATTTTTCCTAAAATATATGGTGGCATAAATGTGTAAGAAAGTTATGGAATCGATAACTTATATACAAGGTGAGTCTGGTAGATCTCGAAAAAAGAAACATAATGTATTATGTTCTCTTTCTGGGATCGAAATATACCACCCCTAAAATATTTGTACATATTTAAGACTCACTCTGTATATCTGTCGATATAATCCAGAAAATAGAATGATTAAATCACAAGAAAAGGTCAAAGAGAAGAATAAATTTCAAAATATACCTCTGTAAATTTTGACAAAATATATTTTTTATTTCACTAATAAATAATATTTTATGTCAAAAATGAGGTAAAGAAAATCTATATCCAAATGACTAGCCTAATTTATTTATATTCTTATATCACGCAACTTTATCGTAAAACTGACAATATCCATCAATACCCAGGGTTTAAAAAAGAATTTCGCTCTTAAAAATGCTATTTATGACCTCTGAAACTATTTTATATAGCTCTACAGCAAAGGAAACTACCCATAAATCTATACATGCTTCATCCCATGTACATTCTCGCCTTATTTTCAGATAGGATTAGTATTGAACACAGTTAAATTTCAAAAGTTCAGATAAATTATTTCGTCCATGTCTACTACAAAACAGGTATCAACTATTATCAAGTATTATTATTGATAACAAATTTATAAGAAAATACTTTGATTTCATTTAATACACATTATCAAAAAATACAATATGTATGTGTTAAACAGCCTCTACACTATGCGGAGAACTCTTCGAAGCAGGTCAAGTTCGCGTTTCGTCGCCCAACTTTGTCGCATTTCGATTTATTTCCAGTTGTCTCGACTCACTTCGGTTTGCCTCGACCTACTTTCGATTCTTAAAAGCGCCTGAAAACTACTAATGAGGAGGCCGTGGGGGTATTTTTTGGCGTTTCCTGTTGTCTCGTTCAATTTTGTTTCGTTTTGAGCTATTTCCATAACGTGGCGGTATCTGTACCCTAGGCAAAGGACTTTTTTTTCATGAATCTCAGTGAAATAAGTAAATATAGACTTTTCTAAAATAGCTGTTGTTACGGTGATATTTCGTTAATTACATCTCGTTTAATGTTGATATATATTCCACAAGATTATTATTTGAACACACGTTTATAATATGTAGAGTAGATATTTAAGAACAAAACTTTTCACGCAATCTGCAGGAATATAATTACAATATGTTTATTATTTAATTTTATTATAATGAATAATTAGTATATAAAACTGTATGGTATGTTATATCTGTTTACGTGGCCTTTGATTGAAGAATTGATTAATATAACAGCAGTATTGCTTCATGAGTAATACTGGCAACATCATCAGTATATCGAGCTGCTTGGAAAAATTATTGATTGACCCGATGTCAATAAAAGATACTTTTATATATAATAATAACATGATTTCATATAAATCAATTCAAAAATAAGAAATAATTAGACGATTTTTTAAATAGTTTAACACCGTGGATTATTGCCTTGCAGTTTTACGATTTTAAGTTTTGAAAATATATTTTTTTACTATATTGTAATTAATAATGTTAGACAACGATTAAAATTAAATATTCTTGTGTAACCTTAGAGGAATAGCTAATTTAATCTACCACTGATAACTGTTTGGTTTAATTTTCTAAATGCACTATTTTTGATTTTCCATATCAGTTTAATATAGTGGTATTACATTACACAAAAGTTTGTAACGGTTTTGCCAACGAACAGCTATTTGCAAGGAAATTTGGATCCTTCCTCTCAAAAATATTGTCAAAAATATCAATATTTCTAAAAAAAAATATAAAATCATATTTACCGCATCTACTTGTAACATTGTTTATAGGACAGTACCTAAAAAAATAATAAAAATCCTACCTCTAATATTGTCGATATGCTCCTCGTACTGCGACTTGCTCCTCACATAATCCAGCCTACTCGACCCACTGTGCAAACTCTGAGTCCTGTACTCACTATACCACTCCGCACCCGAACTCGTTACCTTGCTACTATTACTCCTGTCGCTATCCCACTCGTCCCCATGCCTGGAAGCACTTCCCTCTCTCGACGCGGGCCTCCCCAGACTCTCCTCAGAGGGAAACCTCCCCGTGAGTGAGGATTGGCTGGAGGTTTTGGACGTGGAGGCCAAATTGCCGTTGGACTGCGTGAGGTAGTCGGAGTCGTCGATACGTTCCTCGGAAGGAGTGCGACTTGTTGAAGTGAGTTGTTTCTTGATGGAATGTGTGCTGGTGGAAGAGGTGATGTGGCGGACGGTTTTGCGCACGGTCATTTTTTCGAATTTAACGGTGCGCAAGCCAGAAGTGGGATCGCCCTCTTGAGTGGTGGACGTGTATGATTCCTGTAAGGGTTTCGGAGTTGATGGGGTGGTTCTTTTTTCGGATTTTGGAGATAGTTTTAAAGTGTGCGACGAGAGAAGTAATTTAGATCATCTAAATTAACCGCATAATCAATTTTTTTCACGTTATACGTTTATCAAATAATTTTTTTTTCCAAAAAATACTTTAACACTTCAATTTCAAATTGAATAAGTAGGTGCACTCAGTGATGGAGTGTGGTTCAATGCTTTGAGAGTGCTGGATCACGCAATCACGCTAATTGTAGTGAATGAGTGTTTTATTTTAATTTTGTAATACCAAAGGTTCAACAATAACTATTCAGTAATAAATTACCTATCAACATTTATAGTGACATCTTCATTTCTATAATAATTATAATGGTAGCGCTCTGAAATCTACTATATCGATTATTAACTAATATGTACAGTGCACTTAGGAATAAAGTAGGTATGTTAATTAGTAGAATATATTGCCCTGAAATTACTAAGTCATTGTAATTATTAGAGAAATAAAGATAAGAAAATTTTAACCAAGTTGTTGAATAGGTGCTTCCATAGATACCAACTAAAATAACTGACATGGTTTTACATGAGATCTTTTTTGTTTTACACACAACTTTTTGTAGTGGAGGAACAGCCTTGCGAGACTTATATAACAATTTATGTTTTTGATGGGATTTTGTTTCTTATTGTATGTTATCCTTCATTTTTTTTTGATAATAATTTTTTCAAAATAGTATCAGTTATTAGTAGGTAAGTATCTACTGTAGGTAACTATAAAAGTAAATCTTTCAATAATCAATTATCGACCGGTTTTATATAGCCAAGGATGCAAGTGTGTTCAGTGAGAAATTAATTTTAAATTTTTGTGCAATTATATTTCACTCACACTGAAGACACTTGCATCCTTGGCTATATAAAAGCGGTCGATAAAAGAGTAATTAATACAATTTTTAAAATAAAAAACGCAAAAAACAAGCGACAATATAATGACAATGAAAAGTTGGTTTCCATAACATTGTATAATTTGTACTTTATAAACCGTATAAAATTGTGATTATTTTGGAAATACGTGCAACTTTTAATGCGCATGCGCAACGTAAGGGCCTCGAGAAAGACAAACCTATTGAACGTTTCATAAGTGCAATAAAGAAGGTTGAAAATGGCATGTCATGATGTTGGTGACATATTTTTTAATGCTAAACTCATGGCGTTGATTTATCCACGTAAGTACCTATATATGATCTAGGAGTTCGACAATACAGGGTGTCCCAGAAATGAGTGCAAATATTTTAACTGGTAGTATAGTTCAACCCCAGAAACAGGCCTATGTGTTTTTTTTTGCGAAAAAAAAAATTATTTATTTACATTTTCCGGAAAATTTTGAAAACTTTTGAGTGCCACTGTTCACTCTCTGGAAATTCGTTTATCGTACATAGAAAGAATCTCGGAGAGAATGCAATGTTGCCACTTCCTACCATACCCACATTCTAAATGTTTATAAATTCACAGTAATTTTAATGGGCTACAACATAGTGGTAATCTTAATCATAATTTTTGTCTTAAGCATAAGCACAGTCACAATCGGTCAGTATAAACGGTCGTATCTAAAATAATGGTTTTAACTTTTATGATTGTGACTAAAATTGTGATTATAATTACGATTATGTTGTATAAACCCACCATAAGTTTCTATAGAAAAATACGAAAACTAAATTTATTCATATTAGTGGACATTGCTAATACTAATTTTAGGAAAATGCGCAATGTTTTGAGTACTTTTTACAGTTGAGTAAATTATAAGAGCTTCTTTTTTCGCCGTATTAGGAATTTTTTTCAATCGTTTCAATCAACAATTATAATCTTTAAATATTAAGTTAGAGCTTACCCTTTTGATGAAAATTGATCAGTGTTTTTATCCAACATATACCATTACACATACACTCCAAATATCTATTAATCTGAACATTACAAATCTATCACTTGCAAAATATTATTTAAAATGTTTCACATGATAATTAAACACTAAACTCACAAATACAACAAAAAGTGTTAAAAAACCTGCTTTAATAACTACTTAAAACCTCTACTGAACTCTCCCACAAAAGAAAATTAATGATTTTACACCAAAAGTGCCAAAACTTTAAGCGATACACGTACAACATACGTTGATTTTGGTTTGTTTATATTCTTTAAATGATTTTGGGAACCCCCGAGAAACCGTAAGTACCGTTAAGAGCACTAGGGCCCTCTACCGCTCCCGTCTAATACGACTTGCCTTGCACGCTACAGTGCCGATTGTCCGTTCACAAAAAAAGCTTAGATGTCGCTGAGTTATCGATTTGAGTTTAATTTTGGTATTTTGGTTAATAAAAATAATAAATAAGATGATCAGCACGTTCGTCTATCAGAAATCGTTCTAATAGTATCGAGCTTTTAAAACTCCAGAAAGTTATCGGAGATTGTGTTTAAAATGTTCGTTAGTGCATATTTTTGTGTCGGTAATCGGTATCGGTATCGGTAAATCGCGATGGCCTATACAAATCCGAAGAAGGTGGATATGCTTCTAAACTCTACCTAAAGTGTGAATTTTGCATACTTCCTCCTGGCAGGTGAAGGGGCTGCGGAAGCTAAGAGGCTTTATTCCGAAGAGTATTCGAATAGACAGATCACGAATGCTCGAACCTTTGTGAGTATATTGAAAATAAAAGAATTTCGGACTTTCATTGTCTTTATTTATTTTGATTAATCCAACATTTCGGTCAGAAGGATCACTTACCGTTATCAAGTGTAAACTCTGAGAGCTGGGAGTATGGTTCAGCATTTGAGGGATTTTGGAAGTTTGGATCCTCAGGTGGCATCAAAGTTCAAGTGTTGTTAAGAATTGTAGTGAAGTTAAGTGTAGTGTTAAGGGCAGTTTTAGGACTGGTAAAATAGACAAAAAAGAAAGCTTTGCAATTATATCGATCTTCTATCGGGATATCCTTTCTTAATGTTTGGTAATTTTTCTTTCTTTTAATTTAATTTGGGAAATGTGGGAAGTATGGCTACTGGCGATCATCCACTTAGTGTTATGGAATTTTACAAGTAGTTTTTAAGACTTTCTAGTCGCGGCAACAGCGGGCGGCGAACACGGCGAGGTCCGGGAAATTGCCGATTTCCCCCGGCGGCTCTCAAATGTATATGACGTGACGTTGAACGATGGCTGAACATTCTACAGCTAGTTTTCGAATACGTGTGACTAAATCACATTTTATAGTATTGAACCATCTGGTAGACGTCAGGAACAATAATTAGTCCCACAACACATGTTTGTAATACACCTTTCTCAAAGTTGAAAAAAAGTAAGTAATGTACAAAGTTAATTTATTTAGCCTATAATCTGTATAATTAGCAACGACTTGGAATCTTCAACCACTATAATTAGAGAGAAGCAAAACAAAAATTGAATGCCATCAATCCTTATTTTACGATGGCTTTTTACAGTTTAGCCGCAAAGATGGTTTATTTATATTGAAGAGCTAAAAGATTCTAATTTTATTACATGGGTTAAAATAATTGTTAAGAATATAATAAAATGAGTTAGAAGCATTAACAAATAAACCGATTTAGTGTAAAGCATGATATTATTCCACAATACGAAAATACTTTAGAGATTTTTGGAAATCAGTAAGTTTGTTATTGTTTTAGCAGACGATAAGAAATGAAATTTAGTCTAAATTCGTCTCAATGCCATATAGATTATCAATAAGTTTGTGATTAAATATAACATATTCATTATACAATATGATCAAAAAAAACGGCGTCAGGGACTACTATGAAATGAAGATATTCATTTACAGATATTCGGGTAAAAATTATTTTAACATTGAAACTGTTTCTGTTATCCTATATATGGGAGCCAAAATCGAATTAAAATGCTACATTTGCCACACCATGACGTCATATATACAAGGGTATAGGAAATCTCGGCGTAGCGGCGGCATTAACATTGAAAATGTTTCTGTTATCCTATACATATATGGGAGCCCAAATCGAATTAAAATGCTACATTTGCCACACCATGACGTCATATATACAAGGGTATAGGAAATCTCGGCGCAGCGGCGGCAGTCGGCCAGCGCGCGCAAAAACCATTACATCGCTAATTGTTTATTGATATATCTTTATTAGTTTAAAAGCAAAAAATATGGGGTTTGCTTTGATACCTTGTCAAGAACATAAGCGAAACTTTTAAATTGTTTCTTTTTTTCATTTTGGCCTTCGTTTTTCGTTAAATGAAAGTTATATTAAAAAAAGTCTATTTTTAAACCAAATTTTCGCATGATTGAAATGAGTTATTCATGTTTAAAGTTTTTTTTGGTCATAAGCGCTAATGGAAATGTTTTTTTGTAAATAATTATAAAAAATGACTCCCTAAGAAGACTTTATTGTGTACTGGATCAAAAAATAAGTATTTATTTTCTCTATGCGGTGGTATTAATATATCGATTTTTGATGATAGTGCCCTTTTACCCGGTCTAATTTTGTACTACTTTCGGAATAAGGGTCCCCATATCATGTACTGTACTTCCATCCCTAAAAAATTCAGCTTGTGACACCGGAGTGAGACGTAAAGTCAAAATAAGCTTTAATCTATCTACATCATAGGTAGGTACTCTAGGTATATTCTACCTAGACAGTAGCTGACAGTAGTAATTAATTTGTTATCCGATAAGTAGTTGTCATTATATAAGTTTAATCAGCTTATACCTCCTATAACGGTAGGTTTTGGACTTTTTTCTGATTGGTTTGTTACACAAAAATATACTGGGCATATAAATGTCTAACACAATACATGTATTGAATGTACTTATTTTAACCAATGCATTGTTTTGTTTTTTTAATCTCACAAATAAGAAATGTTTTATAGTTTTTATTATAAAAAACAGTGATTATACAATTTATTTGCACCCCTTATACTGTTTTCTGTAAGGGGTGTAACCAGGAGTATATTTCGTAAC